CACGTCGCGACTTGACCTGTTCCCCTTGCTGTCCTTCGGTCTGCGCAGTGTTTGGTTTGTGCAGCACCACCTGCCATGGACCGTGCGACTGTGGCACCGCCAAACGATCGGCCATCTTTGCAGAGATTGCATCTCGAGAGCAACACGATGGAGATGCCGTTCCGACCCCGGAAAGTGATTATCAGGCACACCGCGCTGCTAGTCGCGCCCCTCGTGCTCTCCCGGAGACTTCGACCGCGCCGGGACATGAAGCCACTTCTCGCACTACGAAGCGGAGCGTCATCGGTGGCACCGAGCCAAGGAACCTTCAGACATCCAATGGTCCAGCCATCTTGCGGAAGCGCACGTGCAACGACTGTTGCAACGCCATTTGTATTCCCAGGAAAAATTGCAACGAGCACCCAACCTGCGGTCCAGACGACTGCACAGACTGCCCACCGTATGCAGCGGAAAGATCCATCGAAGCGTCGTCCGGCTTCGATGATGGATCCGAAGTAGCCTCGATCCTGTCACGAGACGACAACACTAGCCGCTTCGAGTCAGTCGACATCTACCCGCGCGCTGAGGCGAGTCCACTACTGCAAGAGCTTGTGGATTCGTCTGGTTTCCAGCGCCGCGACGTCCCGCCGCCGCATCACAACCCGCCCATTCATTGCGCCAAATGTTGCTTCAAGCAAAACTGCGCGCCGTCTACTGATTGCAGCCATTGTCCGCACGGACAGCGCCGTGATACGCATCTTGGGCTTCCTGCTTTGCACAAGCGTGGCTGTGATGCTTGCTGCAACGTGCCTTGCGGATGTGCCGGCATCAAGAACGCCGATTGCTCCACCTGCTCGGACAGTCTAAACGGAATTGCGCCTGCACCTCAAGCAGGATGCGAGACCAAAGCGTGGCTCAAAAGAAGCCCATCGACATCTGCGTCTCCAGATCCGCCACTCTCCGGCCGCGAACTCAACTCGTTGGCCAGATTTGATGTGGACTCACGCGCACAGTCGCCACGACGTGCTGAAGAGGTCATGGTCAGCCCGTACGATTGCCCAGCGTGCTGCTCTTCGAAAACGTGCTTTGCATGCTCATGCCCCGAGCCTCCATTGCTGGCGCTTGCTGAGCGCACGGCTGCATCGCCCCTCACGATCGACGCGGATGTGAGCGCACAGCCGCAACGAAGATCTGAGCAGGTGCTGGTCACCCAGTACGATTGTCCGGGGTGCTGCAATGCAGGAATCTTGTGCTTTGCGTGCCAATGCAAGCCTCCAGTGTTGTCGCTCGCTGAGCGCACGGCGACGTCGCCGCTCACGATCGATGCGGATGCGGGCACACGTCCACAACAAAGGTCCGAGCTCATGGAAGGAAGTCCAGATATTTGTCCTGCGTGCTGCTTCGATCCTGGCTTCTGTAACGGCGCCTGCGGGTGTGGTGGGGCTTATGAACCTCGCTCACTCTCTCTGCCAGGGATACACTCGGTTGCGAGTATCGCCGAATCACCTCGAGCTAGATCCGCTCACGCCGCTCGTCAGGAACCCAGTACAGCTTACGTAGCCAGCCTAGGCTCGGTGCTCGCAGGCCGAGGAGAGACTGGACACCATTCGCGTCTTGCGACGAGGGATGAGAACGACTGTAACACTTGCTGCGGTACGCCTGCAGGGTGTTCGGGCGATTGCGACTGCAAAACGCCTCCGGTGCTGCAAGAGATCGCAGCCCGCGTGCCTGCCACGGAGACTGAAAGCACTTCAGTGGCTCAGGCGCAGCCGCGCAGCGAGCTCGCGGCGATCGATGCGAACAGCTGTCCTGCGTGCTGCGCCGATCCAGTCACATGTGTCGAGTGCGAGTGTCCGCCGCTTCTCCACGCAAAGCTCGCCCACAGAGAGCTCGCGGTTAGGAACAACTGTGCTGCGTGCTGCGCCAATCCAGACACGTGTTTCGACTGCTGGTGTGATACCACACCGCCTCTCCACGCCAGACTCGCCCACAGAGCGCTCGCGGTCGCCCCAGTCATGGACCTCGAGCGACGGGCAGAGCTCGCAAAAGGTGCGGGTAGTGTAAGCACAAGAGATGGCAGCAAAGACTGTCCTCAGTGTTGCTTGTCTCAGTCGTGCGTACCTGGGACAGTCTGCACGGGCTGTCAGCCGCCCCTCACAAATGGTCCCGGAGCGCCATCAAGCATCTTGAGCGAGCGCGCTGAGGGTCTACAAGCAGCAGACGGTCGGCTCAGTGAGCGTTCTGGATGTCCGAGCTGTTGTTTGCACAACTCGTGCAGCCCTGGATATAGCTGCAGTCCGTCTTGCCTTGGCAACGCGCCCCTACCGCCATGCAAAAATTGCTCTGGAAGCGGCGGCGGAGGATGGCCGCCCCCGCTGCGGCCGCGAGTAACAAAGGATGTCGGAACTTCAGGGTTAGAACAAACGCTGAGGGAACGAAGCAGCCATAATGAAGAAAAGGAAATTTCAGCACGCGGTCTCCCAGAGTCAGAAAGGAGTTTGACAGGGCGCGCCGAGCGCAGAGTTGCCCAAGACACACCAACTCTAGCGAAGCGCTCTTCGCAGGGTGGTGCAACTTTCTCAATTGTCTCGGTCGCGTGTCCCACTTGCTGCCTCTTGAAGCTAGAGCCTTGCCCGGTATGCCCTGTCGACTGCAAGCCGCCTCCTGCACTCTTTACGCGGCGCGCGATCGAGACCGTCGAGCAGCCGCAAGTGGCATCATCTGCCAGTATCAGCGAGGCGAGCGACGACATGACCTTGCATTCTCGTCAAGAGCCCCGGAGCACACAAGATGTCAGCATCTTGAAGGATGTCACCCTGGACGACGTTCCAGAGCACAAAATTCCAGCACCTTCAACTCGCAGCGAGCTGTCAGCACACAGTGGTGCGCTTCGACGGGAATTCAACGGGCAGCCAAAGCCAGGAGAAGAGCTGAATTGCTGGTATTGCTGTCCAAGCGAATGCGCCAAGCACAACGCCTGCGCCACGCCGTGCAGCAATCAGGCGACGCAATGCAACGGCTGCGGAAAGCTGCCGGGCCATCCACCCGTCAAGCGAAGCGTGGTCGAGGTCGATGGCGCCATCGGCGCAGCGACACACAAGCGCGACACGCAAGAAAGATCGATACTTGTCCACGCCCCTACATTGGACAGACGAGGAGAAAAGTTTCAGAGGTGTGATAACTGCTGCCCTAAAAAATGCGGCGCCACTCGCGGTGGCTGCATCAGGCCGTGCAATGACGAAGGTGTGCAGTGCAATGGCTGCTACGGCCACCTCGTCTTGCCTTCTTCGCGCAAACGAAGCGAGAATGACGTCGAGCGCGCCATCGGCACAGCGCCAAGTAAGCGTGACATGGACGAGGGTCTCACGCAAAGCCATGCTCTTACATTAGAAAAGCGACTTAAACAGATAGTCAGATGCGACAATTGCTGCCCTATCAAATGCGCCGCGACGGGCAGCTGCGGCACGCCATGCAGCAACGTATTGGTTCAGTGCAACAATTGCCCCGGACCGATCATCTACGGCCCTCCGGCAATGCTCGGCATCCAACACACCGATAGCTCGACAGAGCAGTCAACAATGCCTCTTGTCGCTCGGAGCCACACCAGTGATGCGACTCGAAGCGTAAGCATGGGTACAGCCCTTCTCAAACGGCAGCAATTCGAGTACGTCTGCGCTTTCTGCTGCCCAGCCGTTTGCGCCCAGAAAAATACGTGCGGCCAGCCGTGCGACCTAAAGACACAGTGTACTGGCTGCCCCGGGGCTGCTGTGCTCACTGCCAGGGCCGGTCTACAAGATGTATGGGAGCAGCATACCATCTCGTCGGGTTCTGAAAAGCGCGGATCGGCACACTTGTCTGATGGTCACCCGTCCAACGCACTGGACAATAGAGATGCTTCCCACTTTGCCGTATACAGCAAAGTCGCGCTTGTGGCGCGCACGCTGCAGGCTGACACGAAGCGCTCTGTGCCCTCGGCTTCAGAGCATTTGGCTCCAGCCGTGCTTGAAGGACGCTCGCCGGGATTAGGTCAAAAGCCGGTGCCCTATCGATGTGACAAATGCTGCGAAAGAAAGCAAAATCCGTGCGGTGGATGGGGTCAACATCCATGTTTGCCTAACCCGTGCGACAGAGCTGTTCAGTGCAGCGGCTGCGGCAGGGCTCCAGGTCCTCCTCCCCGCAAGCGCAACGACGAGTCCGGACCAAAACCTGTCCTCATTGCTCCAGAGAAAAGGTCCGACGATGTGACTCCACTCGAAGCAAGAACGTCTCGATCGTCAACGCTCCTTCAAAATACGCTTGAATTGCAACGAAGGTCTCCCGCAAACAACGTTGGAAAGGAAGTGTATCCCTGCGACAAATGCTGCAAGATAAAGCAGAATCCATGCGGCGGTCGTGGCCAGTTCCCGTGCATTCCTAATCCCTTTCCTTGTGATCGCGCAAAGCAGTGCACTGGTTGCGGCAAGCCTCCACCCATTATAGGACAACCCCCAAAGGCGAAGCGCGACTCTGCGCGCGATCTTCGCACACTGCAAGAGAGAAAAGACGTCCCCGCAGACGCGTCGCCCGAGAAGCGATCCAACGAGGGAGACCATCTCGAGAAGAAGTCTGAGCATCAGTCGACGCCTCATCGCAACCCACTAGAATGGCAACGAAGGTCGCCTGCAAACCGTGTTGGAAAAGAAGTGCAGCGCTGCGACAAGTGCTGCAACATAAAACAAAATCCCTGCGGCGGTCGCGGTCAAGTCCCATGCATTCATAATCCATTTCCTTGTGATCGTGCAAAACAGTGCACTGGATGCGGCAAGGCCCCTCCTATCATCGGACAACCTCCAAGGACGAAGCGGGACGCGACGCTTGATCAGCCAGTCGTGCCGCAAAGAGCTAGCCGAGGTGTCAAACAACCCTTGGCCGCTGGAAGCCCTGCACCTGCGCTTCAAACGAGGACAAGCGATGCAGCAAAGTCGGCTGTTGATCGATTGGAGATGCACCGACGATCCCCCGCAGGCGGAGCGGTGCCCGTATTCCGCTGCGATAAATGCTGCACCGGGAATTGCACCGGAGGTCCCGGCACTCCCATTCCTTGCCCACCGTGCAATCGTCCTGTCCAGTGTCCGAGCTGCGGTGGTTCAGTCTAAATCGTCAGGATCAACCTGGTCGTCGGCTTTTTCTTTGTTGGCGCTCGAGAGCCGAGTGTGTGTAAAGCTCCCCTCTTGACATTTTGTACATCTAACTCTCGATCAACCACGCCGTAACCAAGCAATGAGAATTCCTCGTGTTCCGCCCATTTCTTCTCCCGAATGTTACTGCATGCTGCGCTGCTGGACATCTCGAGAATCAGGCATACGATTGCCAAGCTGCATGCATGCCTCTCTGTGCATCCGCAGAAAACGTACTCGCATCCAACTACGTTCCAACTTTCATCGCGTAACTGCTTTGCCCCCGCGAATGTTGACAAAGGACGAAAGCTTCACTGTGGAAAATAGAGACGGACGCCAGACAAGTGAGGTTCGTGCGTGCGCTACGAGCTGGACCCCGTCGAAGCAATCACAATGTATTCATTGAAGCTGCACCGCGCGGTCCAAATCTACACGTTACATCGAAGCAAACGCCGCTCGAATCAAAAAAAAAAAAAAAAAAAAAGAGTGGGGCCACAAGTACATTCCGCGATACGTTTGCCTCAGCTCCTTGGAGAAGGGGTCGGGGCATAGCTGGAGGGGACATTTCTGATGGCCTGTGACTGTATCTAGGAGCTGGAGCTGGATGGGTAGCGCACAGCACAGCGCTGGAATGAGCAAGCAAGCGTCTAAGGTGATGCGACGTCTACGCGAGCATCTGATCGCCGCGGTGCGTCTTGATCCGACAATAGACTGAGCAGCGTGCCCAATTGTTCGATCTGACCAGCGGCGATGTAACACAAGAAGGGAAACAAAAGAGTGATGGGGGTGAGCAAAAAAGTGGATCAAAGAACCATTGTGCCCCAACGTTGTGGGCTGCCTCTGCCGCCAACGAGCGCTTGTCCGGGCACATCCGGCGCAAATGGGGGCCAAGCACTACTTACATCCTCCACGCTAGTGATCGACCAAACCTCGTACTCTGCAGGTTGCAGACCTTGCGACATGCGCAACCTGTCCTTGTGCGCCAGCTCCTTGCTGAGCAAATGAGCGCACGCTCTGCCAGGTCCCAAGCAAACAAAGCGCTGCACACCCTGTTCCACCTGCGCAATCGCGAACATGGAGGGTGGGAGGGGGTCAGACGAGCTGGGTTTCTTTATCCAAGCAGAAGAGGAACTGCAATCTCCGCTCACGAGCTTATCGATGCTCTCTAGCCACCTGACCACCTTGGAGCTATATCCCATCAAATCCGCTCGAATCTCCTCCGCATCCCTCAGCAAACTCGCACCCTCGCTGACCGAGCTGACGATCCCATACCCTTCCGGCCTCATGAGAGGCAGATATCGAATAGCCTCGCGCAGATCGTCCGATGCTCGGTTCATGAGGCTGGAGTGGTACGGACCTCCAACGGGCAGATTGACCGCTCGCGCACCCAGCGATTGTTGGCGTATCCTGTCCGACGCCAGCGAAACGCCCACGCGCGTTCCGGCTAAGGAAAGATCAGGCATGTACCGGCGAGAGCGGAATGTGATGTGAGCGTGTGGGGCGGGGGTCCGCGGGGGGAAATTGGCGGAAATGTGGGGAAGAAGACGGGGGACGCGGTCCCCCGATCAACAACTCACACAAGACCAGCTGAAGATTATTGTTGATGTTCGCAATCTGCAACAAAAAGGGATCCATCAGCAGATGCGCCCCAATCTAAAGCCCCTGCCCGAACACTTTTTCAGACAAGCCTACGAAACAGCCAGTCACTGACCTCCACCACCTCGTCCTGCGCTACATCCTCCACTCTGCCAGCGCTGATATCGCTCTGCGTGTCCCTGACCATCTGCATAGCAGCCAACAATTTGCCCGGTCTGACCATGACTCCAGACATTTGGCTCCTCTTCCAGCCCTTGACGATCTGTCTGCCCTGCCCGTCTGTTTCCATGGTCGCAGACGAGCATGCAGAATGATCATCGCCATCAGAAGCAGGATCCGTCTTGAGTCGGACCTGCGCTGTGCTCTCCGCTCTGACCACGTCGATGTCAGCTTCGCCAGATTGGGGCAAAATCGTCTCTTGTCCCTTGCCGCTGGAGGGGCATCAAGGTGTGGGAGCGCTTCGAGATCAGCACATGCAGCCTACTCGGAAGCGTGCGCCACGTTTCGCAACACTCCTCACCTGCCAGAGTTGGCAAAAGCCCACGTCTGACCGAATCGCGAGGGGGAAGGGCTCGGTCAGCCCAATCAGTCACTCTACGTCGGACTTGCGTCGCTTCGTCCGTCTTCAACGCACCTCAAAGACGCTTTCAGGTCTCTTGCAACCCTCGGGAAAGAGCGTGGTATGCTCGAGCGTGTTCAAGTGTTCCCTGACGCCCTGGAAACGCGTAAGCCTGACCGCATCGTCCAGTGCGAGGCTCGAGCTGCCAACCAGGGCAGCATAGACCCCAGCTCCGTGTCCAGCGGCCAAGCTTGCGTGGTCCAGGATCAGATCGCGGGAAAAGTCCTGTCGAAGGACGGAGAGGATGGATAGGCTGCATACTAGAATGCTCGGAAGACTGTTGTAGGGTAATGTGAGGGTGAGTTGATCGCCCGAGAACTGGGTGGGGTGTGGCGGAGATGTGCGGTGAGCACGTGTCGCAAGAGCGGTCAGAAGCCACCTGCCTGCCGCAGGAACATGCGCAGCTCACCACCATATCCCTCAACCAACCCCTTTTGCGCACATCCGCTCCTAGCCCGGGCATAAGTCTTTGCACTCCTTCCGTGCCTCGCCACGTGCCTCTCAGAACCTCTTCAAACGCTTCTCTCTGCGCAGCATCTTGCCCAGGCGCCGAGTTCGATGTGCGCTGGCTGCTGCTGCTGCTGCTGCTACTGCTGGACCGCGAGGAAGAAGAGGATGGCGATGCGAGGGAAGAGAGGCTCTCCTCCGCTTCGTGCCATACGTGCCGGGCCGATCTGAAACCTCTGTACACGTCGTTTGCCATCGTGACATATTGAGAGCCCTGTGCGGAGCAAAGTCGCGAGCACACGTGAGCCCAACAACAGTGGAGACAAGGAGCCACAGCGCGAGGGGCCAGCGTCACAGAGGAGGATGCTCGAGGGTGTGGACTGGACAGCCGAGTCAGACTTGCAGCAAAGCGAAAAGACACTCACTTGACCAGGGAAGATCAATGCCGTCTTTTTCCTCCTCATACCGCTGCTGCCCGTCGTCGTCGTCGTCGTTGCCGCACCATCCCCTTGATGTCCCTGCGCAGCACTGCTCTGCATCTGCGTCTGTTCCTGCGCGTTGCTGGCTGATCCAGTGCCGCTCCCTGCTCCAGATCCTCCAAGTCCGTGTATGCGACTAAGACTTCCATGCGCTTTTGCGCTGCGCGCACTAGGTGCATTGGCTATGCCCGCTGCAGAGGCGTTGAAGGAGGAAGAGGGAGAAGAGTAGGTGTGGATGGGTAGGGGACGCGTCGTTCGAGACGTAGGCGCGTACTAATTTGCACACAAAAGGAATCAACGGAAAAGAGATGAAAAGAAAAATTCAGCGTCGAGCGAGCATTGAGCAAGTCGCCGCCGAGTAGACCTTTCCTGAAGCAAAGCGTATGTTGCGCGGCTGCTGCGAAAGCTCTGCTCCTTGCCCCCTCCTTTCCCAAAAAAATAACCCTAACTCTCGCCTGTGCCCTCTCGCCCGCTTTGCCCGTCCCCCTCGTCAAGCGCAACTCTCCAATGCCCAACGCGAATGAAGGGCGCACCCTTCGACGCAAAAGGGCGGTGAAAGAGCCACGACGTGCAGGGCAGGCAAAACCTTTTGCCTTGCCTCCACCGCTCGCCAGCCAGCCAGCCCCTCACTCACCTCGTGCCTATAACTCCGCACAATCTTGCTATCCGCATCCCCATCGTGCGCGCCTCCATTTGCGCGTCCGGCTTCTGGGATGGGACGGGACGCGCTGCGCCTCTTGCCATACCCCACCACGGCTCCCGTACCCGAAGTGGACTTGGATCGCGCATGGGTATCGACGACTGCTTCAGCACTCCGCACAATGTTGCCCGACTGCTCGTCTCCTTCCCTCGACGACGACGATCTCTGCGCGTCCTTCATCTGCTGCTGCCCCTTTGCGCCCGTCTCGTCCATCTCCCGCTCCGATGCCGGACCAGATCCAGATCCAGATCCAGATCCAGATCCAGATCCGGACCCGGACCTAGCCGCAGCCGTACCAGCTTGGCTAGAATCGCTCGTGCTGGAGCTGGAGCTGGGAGCGGAGTGCAACGTCGTCTTTGTCCGGAGTGAAGAGGCTGGGCTGGAGGAGCCAAGCAAATGGTGAAGCGGTGCAGCAGATGAGGAATTTGCAAGCCTGAGCGAGCTCGCCTCGGAGCTATACCTGCTTGACGTCTCCACCGCTCGAGTCCTATCGCGCGAATGGGCCAGCATATGCGGATGATCGAGCGCGCGCGGATGAGAGCGCAAGTCTGGCGCGTCTCGGTGAGTCGCAATGTGGTCGAGCGAGCTGGAGCTGGAGCTGTAGCTGGTTAGAGGAGGAGGAGGAGGAGGAGCATCTTCATGCTGATGAATAGCTATCAAGGCGCTCAAATCTTCTCTCGCGACGGCATCGCGATTCCGACTGCGTGTGTGCTGCGCGTGAGTGCTCGACGCTCTGCTGTGCACATACCGGTCGACAGTAGGTGAGGAGTAGGAGTAGGAGTAGGCGCTCCCAGATCCTCGCTGCTCAGACTGTCCAATGGCTGCCACTCCCGCTGCTGCTGCTGCTGCTGCTGCTACCGCGACTCCTGCATCTTCGCCCACCGCCGCCGCCGCCGCCGCGACCGCCGCCTCGGCAATTTCCCGCTCCCGCAGCTCATTCGTCCCCCTTTGCCCTCGTTTAGATTCTGAGCTGGACCAGCGCACGCGAGCGCGAGGATGGTGGAGCAGCAGCAGAGCGTGCAGGGCGAGGTTTGCGTTTGAGCAAGAAGCTTGAAGAGGTTGCGCTGCTTGACTTGCCGCCGCTGCTCTTGTGAATGTGAGTGGATGCAGCATGATGCGTGGTGCGTGGTGGTGTGGTGGTGTGGCGGTGTGGTGCGTGGTGGTGTGGTGGTGAGGGCAGGTGAGATGAAGGGGCGCAGTGTGAGGGCGCCGTGCGGGTGCGGGTTGGGAAAGCGGAATTGCAATCGAGCGTCTGACCCTTTGTGCTGCTTCGTTGACCTTGAAGAGTTGGTCGATGGGAGGGATTGAGCGGCCGCGCGGGGTTCGATGGGCGTGGAGAGGTGGTGCAGGCAGGCAGGCAGGCAGGCAGGCAGGCAGGCAGGCAGGCAGGCAGGCAGGCAGGCAGGCAGGCAGGCAGGCAGCAAGGCATGCTCATTCACGATTCACGATTCACAATTCACGATTGCAGATTCACACTCGTGACTCGTGATTCGTGATTGTGCGCGCGCAACGCGAGGTTGCATGGCGCATCGGTAGGCGAGGGAGGCGCCGTGTGCGCGCCCGTGCGTGCATCTATATAGTGCACGCATCCAGCATGCGCGCATCCATCCACATCCGCGGCCATGCATGCACCCATGGCAGCACCACATGCCACACCACGCGCGCTGCCTTCGATTGTGAGCTATCGAGCGTAATTAAGCGCGACGCGCGCGCCATTCTTTGTGATTCTTGATTTGCAAAAGATCACGTGCGTGTTCCTGCTCGAGCTCGTGCCCGTGCCCGTGCCTCCACTCACGTGACTCGGCGCTTCGTCGTCTTTGCATACGCATGATCGTGAATGGTGAATCTTGAATGGTGAATCAAGATGATGACACTCAGACTCTGACTTGGACGCGTGCCGGTGCTTGCATCGTCTCCTGCTCGCCCATCCCCATGCCCATCCATCACGCCACGCCACGCCACGCCACGCTACAGTTTTGGTGTGGGACGATCAAACAGCGATCAACGGTCTTGCTTTGTGGCAGTGCACGTACAGAGGTCTTGACTTGCATCAGGCCCCGTGTGCTTCGAGGCGTCGAGCCCCGAGCATATCAGCAAACAAGCGTATATCTGAAAAGCGGGGGCGAAAGCGTTCAAAAAGGAGAAACGTTGCAGCACGAGGGGGCTGGGGCCTGGCCATCTTTCCAACTTTTTTCACACACTTTGCAACCCTCCTTCACGCCCCCGCCCACACTTGCTGAGGAGCACTCACTCGCACCAACTTGCTGCTAAAGGACGGATGAAACAGCAACGCTAGCCCTAGCACGTTCCCCATCGTCGAAAGGGGGAAATCTTTTGGGGCGAGCGAGCAATGGAGCAGGACGCGCAGCCTTTGCTGAGTGGGCAGCAGCCGGGAGAGCGCGAGCGCGAGCGCGAGCGGACGAGTGGAGAGGGGAGGAGGGATGCGAGGGGGAGCGCAGCAGGCGGTGCGTCCGCTGCTGCTGCTGCATCAGCATCTGCATCTGCATCTGCGCGCCCAGCAGACGAATCGGCAGCTGCTGCGGCTGCGGCTGTTGGCGTCGATGTCGACATCGACATCGCAGCTGGCATCCACACCGCAGCCGACGTGGGAGGAGGTGCGGCGGGTGCGGGTGCGGATGCGGGTGCGGATGTGGATGTGGATGCGGATGTGGATGCGGATGAAATGGCTCAGACGAAGCGCGCATCGTCGAGCGCCGGCGGCAAGTCGGAGGAGGCGAGTAGTCTGCGCTCCGAGTTGAGAGCTGCATCGATGGGCATTCACGCGTCAGCATCGGGCAAGGGCGTGGGCGTGGGCAAGGGCGTGGGCGTGGGCACGGGCGCGGGCGTGTTGAGGTACGAACCTAGAAAACGTCGTCCTTCAAGGATCGCTCTCGTTGCACCTGCACCTGCTGTTGCTGCTGGCTCGAAACCATCTCCTCCTCCTCCTCCTCCTCCTGCTGCCGCTCCTCAGGATGCGCAGCTTCGACCAGCCCACTCCGCTCATCAGGCTTCTGCGGACATGTCAAAGAGGATGGCATCGTCGCTTGAACGTCTTGCGACGCTTCCACCGCGTGCGAGCGCGGGCGCTGTGACAGAAGAGCTCGTACCCGCCTCCGCCTCCGCGCCTTACTCGCAGCAGCGCGGGAGAAAGGCGCAAGATGTGTCCGCATCAGCTTCGCACTCGCGCTCCTCGACGCATTTGGCGCCTTTTTCCGATGCACAAGCAACGATGCTGGACTCTCTGGCTGGGATTGCCTGTGCGGGCGGCAGCAGCAGCAGCAGCAGCGGCAGCAGCGCGCAAATCAGCAGCAGCACATCCGCACGCGCCGCCGCCGCCGCCGCCGCCGCTCTTCCTCGACCCGATCCTTTCCACAACGACGCACTCGAGCCGCGCGTATCGACCGCATCAGCAGCCGAGCGCGACGACGAAGGAAGCGGAGGAGGAGCTGAAGAGTGGCGGCGGCGAGAAGCAGCGGTGCTGCTGCGGAGGTCTCTGAGCGTTTTGGGAGTGCGAGAGGATGGCGTGGGGTGTGCGATCGTCGGACGAATCTGGGCTTGTGCAGCAAGCATGAGCATGCCGGGGACAAATATGGATGGGAATGCGCAGCAAAGAGAGACGCAATCGTCGTCTTCGTCGTCGTCGTCGTCGTGGGTGGACCGTCGTAAAGGGGGGATTACTACTGGGGAAGCTGAAAAGAGGCAGAGGAAGCAGTGGGAGTGGGATGAAAGGCGGCGGCAGGAGGAGGAGGTAAAGGCGCGGAGCGTCGATGCGAGGTCGACGCTTGGAGGAGGCGATGTGGACAGGATGAGCGGAGATGAAGAGAAATGTTGGAGAAGCTTGACCAGACTGCTGTGTACTCGACGAGTGAGTTTTCGCAGATCCTGTGGGCGGGGGGGTTGGGTGACGGGGGTTAGGATTGGGGCTGTCTTGCCTTCTTTCGCCCTCTTGCCGCCGCTCCGAGTGCTGGCCGCCATTTGCGCGCTTCATCTCTCCGATCGCTCTGCTGAATGGATATGCTGACTGATAGACCTATCCCTTGACGCCTTCCTCCTCCCAGGCTATCCTTTTGCTCTCCAACAAGACCATCACCACTCGAGCGCATGAGAACCTCTTGGATCTGGCGTTGGAGCACATTATCCTGCTCGCCCATCCGCTCAAAGCAGCTGCGGAGTGGAAGGGTCCGGACGGCGCGGATGGCGCGTACTTGAAAGAGATGAGAGGCGGCGGCACGGTGGGGAAGGATGGACATGAGGATGGCGGTGGGAATGGCAGTGTGGAATTTGTGAGCTTGTCGGGCTTGAGAGGAAGTTGGCTTCGGACGATGAAGCCGGTTGCGGGGGGGCCGCTTCGCCCCACGAACAGCTTGGAAGTGCGCTCCTTTTTAAACAAGGAGGACTCGCCTTGGATCAGAGGGATTTTGCACGGGGATGAGATGGAGTGAGTAGCGCCTTTGTTCTAGCGGGGGGGGAGACATGGAAGGGGAGCCGCTCTCGATTTGGCCTTCATGCCCCTCGCGCGTCACTGCTGATTTGAATTCTACCACAGAGCTTTCGTGGCCAATTTGCCTCCTCTACCCACCGCGTGCACTTCTGCGCCGACTTATCCTCGCTTTGCGCTGCAAGGCGCTCCAAAATCTCTCGGCTTACGCCTTGCTGCTACCTCCTCAGAAGCGCAAGGCGGAGCCATGGGTCCGGATGAGGAGACTGCAGGATCTCCGACGAGCGTCGTTGGGTTCGACACTTCACTGCGCACAAAGGAGAGTAGGACTTTGGCGCCCATGTCGAGCTTGTTCAAGAATAGATTGGATGCCAGCTTCGTGGAGCATGATGCGAAGGATGGGCGGCTAGAGTCGGGAGGATCGAGAGAGAACTCTTTGGCCAACACTCTTGCGGCGCCCTCGCCCTTTTTGACGCCTACGACCAGACCGAGGAGCGCCACCTCCAGCTCTCGCACCAGCTCCAGCTCCAGCTCGCCAGCCTTGATCCTCTCAGCGCCATGCAAGGATGAAGACGCCTCATTGACACGCGACGAGAAAGAGTGCACCGTGCATGTTGCGCTCCTGCAGGAAGAAGACGCGCTGGACTTTGGCAGGAAAAGCGTGCTCGCAACGCTAGGTGCGGATATGAGACGACGGCTGAGCGATGAGCTTTCGCGCTGCGAGCCTGTCGACGCATCGAGCAGCAGCAGCAGCAGCAGCAGCAGCAGCATTTTGCCGCTCTTGGACAGGGAAATCGTAGAGGTGGTGGTCAGGTGAGAAGGAAGATTTTGCGTTGATGTTCCTCTGTTCATATCTCTGTGCGCGGTCAGAAACTGACGCAAAGATTCGAATCTATTTGGGGGCGTCGCATTGCTCTCTCTCTCTCTCTCTCTCTCTCTCTCTCCCTCCACACAGCTTTGCGGCCATCTTTTTGCCACCGACGACATCTTCGTCCGCATCTGAGCAGCTCGGGACGCCCCTCCAGCCTTCCGTTGCATCCCATCCATCTCAACCCGAGGAATTGGGAGAGTCGTTCCAGGATCTTTGGGAAAGCTTGACAGGGCAGATTGATGGCATGATCATCGCGAGGGGCCAGACGCACCTGTGCACGAACGAGGAGGCGCAGAGGTTGGAGGTGCAAAGGCTTTTGGATGAGGTGGAACATGCGCTGTGTGTGGAGGTGTACGATCGGTGAGTCGAACGCCCTCCGCTCGAGCTGCAGCACTGCGGCTTGCACGCTGAATCAGCATCCACCCTCGGCTCGGCAGCATCTTTTGCCCCATCCATTCGGCTGATGAGGCGCAGAACGCTTCTTTGAAACAACGCATCGCTGCGCTGAATGTGTTGGGCATGAATCTGGCGCATTTAGGATTGGACGTACGCGAAGATGCGAGCTTTGAAAGGCACAAAGGTCAGGCTGTGCGCGATGCGCTACACGACCTGACCAAGAGGTGTGGGGCAGGTGAGTGTGTATGTGCATGAGTGTCGGTTTGCACAAGATGCGCGGATTCTCGCTTCAGCATGTCATCTGTGGGCAGCGCATCTCACCGAGCATGGCTTGCATGGTTTTGCTTTTGTGCAGTGCTTTGCACCCTCAACGATATCAGCTGCAGAGCGCCAAAGAAAAAGTTGGACGTACTCCTTGCTGCTCATAGATTGCTTGTGGAAGGTCTTGAAGACTTGCCGCGCTTTCGACTAAAAGAAGATGCGGATGCGGACGTGGTCGATGGAGCAAAAGCCGAGATGATCGACGCGAAGACTTTGCAAGGAGAGATCCAGGAGCCCGCCACGCTCCAGACCAAAGACGAACTGGGGCAAGCCGCAGATGCGCGAAATCGACCGTCGACATCGAGCACGGATCTGATCCTTCCGTTGCTCATCCATTCGATCATCAGCACCTCGCCTCCGCAACTCGCCGCTCACTTGCTCTACGTAGAGAGGTTCAGACCGGCCTCGCTCATTCGTGGCGAGAGCAGCTACTGCCTCGTCAATATGCAAGCTGCAGTCACATTCTTGCAAAATGTGCAGCCTGAAACGTTGGGTTTGCAAGGTGCAGATTTGATCGCGTGAGTGGGCGTGCTCTGCGATGACCAGACGCACGGTGCGCCGCTGATAATGGTCGCTTTCTTCGACTCGTGATGCAGCTTTCCAAAGCCGAACACTTCTCTGTCGAACGGCGGTGCAGCACAAACTGCGAGTGCGAGAGTGCTGAGCAGCCCATCAGCTGCTACGCCCATGCCCATGCGCTTTAGAGGTCGCGTAGCACAGGAGATCGGAGAGCTAGCTGGCATGTCCAATCGGGTCATTACTGGAGGTAAGCAGTCACGCCAAAGCTTTGGCACGAGCTGCGAAGGCTAAAGCGCGGAGCTGAAGCCCAAGCTGAATTGGCTCTTTCTGCTTCGCTCACTACGTCGCAGTGATGGGCAGTAGCATCTCTGCATTTGGCCGAATGATGGGCTCTAGCCCTGCGAGCGCACAGCAATCGCCACTTGCGCTCCTCTCGCAGTCGCAAAGCGATGCGCGCGCAAACGTTCAAGATGCCTCGCACGCTTTCACCACTCGCCAGCCATCGAGTGGCCTGACCAACTCGCTGAGAAGTTTCGCACGCGTGCACGACGGTTCGAATCGAGGCGCAGGTAGCGCAGCGGCCGCTTCTTTGCAGAGCGTCAAGGATGCTTGGACAGGCAGCGCGGGCTCGGGTGGGAGCGATTATGGTCGCGATGCGTTCGCAATGCCTTCTCATTCGGATGCGAGAGCTGTTCAGCCTGACGTGGCTAGCAGCAGCAGCTTCTCGCCTCCACTTGCACACCCCGCTTCTTCTTCTCCTGCCAATGGCATCAACCTGCAAGCTGGAGATCGCATGTCCTTTGGACATCGACTGGCCTCTATACCTGTGCTCAACAGACTTGGACTGGGCTCTTCGCCCTCGTTGAGCAGCGTCGCGCTCCCCTCGTCTTCTCAGCAGAGCACATCACCCATCAAAACAACTCGAGAATTGCCTGGTCCGCCACCGCCCGATAAATTCGCCAAAAGGCAGGGGAAGAGCAAGAGTTTGGCGACAGAGCTGTCCAACTCTGCCCTTGCTGCGCCCGCCCAACGCGCATCTGGGCCTCCTATTGTGAGTTGCAAATGGATCAGAGCAACACGAGTCGTGGAAGAGCTTGATTGGCTGACATTTGTGCCTCGCAGAACCGATCTGGCAGTCCAGAGCCGTACGGCTCAAAGATACCTGCCTCACTCCAGTCCCCTTATCCTCCGCTGTCTCGACCTCCAACGTCTTACAGACCGCTGCATGTCGTGCTTGCGAGCACAGGCAGCGTGGCCAGCATCAAGGTACCTTTGATCGTGGATGAGTTGCTCAAGGTGAGGTGGACTAGTGTTTGCCGACCTGTTGGACCTCGCACACGCTCTGATCTTGACTTTCACGTCTAGCACGACAATGTTCGGGTTCAGGTGGTCGCTACTTCGTCTTCGCTGCATTTCTTCAAAGCGAGCGACATCTTTCATCTCAATCGGGCGAGCGTACCGAGCGTGGACGACTCGAAAGATGAAGGGAAGGAGGAGCTGGCAAAAAGCGAACGCTATTCAGTACAAGACCTCGCGGCGGAAAATCGGGCGGCTGTGCGCGGAACGATGCCGGCAGATGCAGATCAACCACGAGCGCACGTTTGGACGGACGTGGACGAGTGGGATCAATGGAAGCGCGTCGGTGACCCCATCCTGCACATCGAGGTGAGCTTTACGGAGTGATCGGAGCGGACGACTGCTCGTTTGCTGCGTCTTCTTGCTCTGCTCATCCCCCGAGACTGACCTTCTCTGGTGTTAGCTGAGGAGGTGGGCAGATATCGTGCTCGTCGCTCCTTGCAGCGCCAATACTCTTGCGAAAATCACAGCGGGCATCTGCGACTCGTTACTGGTGCGCATCGCTCGTCTGATGGTGCTCCCCCCGCATTGCTTGCCTGACGATGCCCAGCTGATCAATTCCACCACGCCACACCCGTGTCGTGCCCATAGACCTCCTTTCTGAGAGCGCTCTCTCCGACAACCCCGACGGTGCTGTTTCCGGCAATGAATACGCTGATGTACATGCATCCTCTGACGGCTCATCAACTCGCCTTGGCAAGCACCACGCTCGGGTACGAAGTGGTGGGACCCATCTCGAAGATGCTAGCTTGCGGAGATCTCGGTGAGACGAGGGCGATTTCGCTTAGTGGAGCCTAGGCGGTGGCCTTGACGTTTGCAAGCTCACACAAGGGGACTGCCTCCCGGTCTCTTTGATGATGACGGATGATGCCAGGTCAAGGAGCGATGACGGAATGGACGGATATTGTCCAGCTGGTTGTGCGACGCTTTGGCCTGACTAGATCTCGCGCGGCCCTGCACGAATAAAGACTGCTGCCTCGACTCTCACCCACTCGACTTCGACTTTTGGCCCCCTCCCCCGCGCCCCCGCCCGCCTTCTTCTAAAGCCTTGCAGCAGCAAGGCGGACACTGCTGCTCCTTCTCTTCTGTGCCCCAAACCATTCTACCGCTCGATGCCCCCTCTTGCGCACGCAAGTCGTCTCTTGCAGACCGAATGCGCACCAACATGGTGCCCTGTAATTTATCCCTTTTTTCCATTTCGCTTCCCTTGCAGCACCGCGTGCGTGACTTGTCATGCTCCCATTCACTGCACCTGCTCATCCTCTCGCAATCCCATCAAGACGGTGGAGGGGAACATTTTTGGGTGCTTCTCGCACGCATCCACCCCGAGAAGCTGTATCACGTCATGCTTGTGTTGTTCGAGTTTCTAATACGGCATCAATCAGCAAGGTTCTCGCGAGTCCGCACCTCTTGACCCCTTGTGCGCACCGAAGATTCCTCGTCTCTGACACGGCACTGTCCTCGCCCGAGCTGGACAAAAGTGTCGGGGGGGCAAGCTACAAGCATCCAGCAAAGTCCTCGGGTGCGTCGACGCAGCGCCAGCTTGACACGACGAGCATTCTACCCCTGATTCCCCGAGAATCGCGAATGGGGGGGGCGGCCTTCATTCAGTCTGAGAATAGGCGTACGAGCGGGGGCATGCGATCGAGCGCGGCCGTACGCTTTCTTCCCGGAGCTTTGCCCTTCATCCGCCCGAATGTCGGCCTCGATCGGACCTTTTCCCCCCCTCCGACACATTCGCGCGCTTTCCCGCTTCGAAGCTTTGCCACGACGCTTTCTTCAGAAAGAAAGCGAGCGACGATTCCCTCGCGACGAGGAACAGCCTTGCCCCCCCGCATCGAAAGATTAGGCCGTTCTCAAAGGGGATCACCAGCGCAAACGATGATGACGAGGGCTCTGCGAGCGGATATGAGACTTGCTCGCATGTGAAAAAGGCAATCTTGCCCTCGTGCTGTGTTTCCCTGTGCTGCTGCATCTCCTCACCATGGCGCTATGCTCCGCAGTCGCGAGGTTAGCGGACACTTTGCGCGTACCACACGCATCGCTCAAGAAGAAGGAAAAAAAGTCATCCACATTCTCAAATGCTACGTGCCCGCGATCGGATCACCGCGCGCTCCACCCCGCTTTTGCCCGAGCTTGCTTCCCTCACGCTAGAGTGGGTGCGCGTCTGAACGGAGAGGAGAGCAGCGCGGGTGCGATGAAATGAGGTGGATGGCGATGATGCGCTGCTGTCACGAGTTTTCGCCTGCAGTGCACCGACTGCTTCTTTCAGGCCAGGTCGACGTGCTTGTAGCCGCGCACCTGCGATTGCAAGGGAAAGAGCAATCTAGATGAGCAGACGCTCGCGCACAAAAGGACCGCACCCGGCACCCGCGCACCGATCGCCATCATGGACGCTTCTAGGCCCCCCAAGCTAGCAGTTGCGCAGTACAATTTGCCTGCTCCCGCTCACCTTGGCATCCTTGAGCAGTTCGAGGTACCTATCGGCCAAAGGTTGGCAAACCTGATAATGATTCACCCCTTCACCTTTGTGACACTTGACCAGCTCTTCGCGCACAATGCGCGCCTTCATCACCTTGACCCAGTCCGAGCGAATCTTTTCTTCGCGCGCCTCGACGGTCTCTGGTGGAGCGAGTGTGCGGGGGGCAGGGTGCAAATGGGGGTCAGCACAGTAGAGAGGTGCGCGAAAGGGGGTTGACGAGAGGGATGGCTCGAGCGTAGCGTGAGGCTTTCAGTCCCCGATGACTTGCCGACGTCGGAGCGCGCCAGTGTGAGGCACTGCAGCTTGCAGCTCTTGCGCGCAAAGAGAAAGCGCGCACCGCTTCAAAGATGCCTCGTGATCAGATGGCCCCATGGCAGCGCAGTGCTGCTTCCCTCTTGCCCCTCTGCATGCCGACCAATGTCTCGTGTGCAAGCCAAAGGGGAGGGCCCCCAAGTACGCGCATGCGCATGCGCCTGCTCTTGCAATCCCCACCGCACTCTGCTTGCAAACTCCACCCGCACTCGAGGTGCAGGCCAGGCCATGTGCAACATTTCACCCTTTCCCCTTGTCTTTTTCCGTATCGCAATGCCCTCCAACCTCGATCGATCCCCACATGCTGCTGGCTGCTCCCCACTCCCCACCTCACCCACTTGGACCCTCTGATCTTGGCACATGCGCAGCAAGGTTCTTGCCCGGCGCTGCTGGCTGCGCCCAACTACTCACCTTTGATGGCATCGGCGGATGGAAGTTGATAAGGCTGAGCAGAGGACATTTTGGGGCCTGGCCTTAGCTTTCGTTGACGGACTTTTAGACTCTGGCGGGCGGGGGGCGTGATCAAGCCTTCGAGAATCGTAGGAAGCGAAAGAGCCGATCGCTTCGGATGCGGGCAGAGGGGGGGCAAAAGTTTGCACAAGTGCGGGGCTCGGGTTTATGCTGTGATGCGGGGGGGGGGATGATGGGAGGCAGGTCGAAGGGTTGGCGTGCGTTGTGGCCTGATGGTGATGAAAGTGTGGCGCAGAAAGGTTTGGATGCACACAACCGACCAGGAAACATCAGCTTAATTGCCCCGTCCGCGTTGGCGTTGCTAAAGCATCGCGATTGGATTCTGATTGAATTCTGATTCACGCGATTGTGCGCGCGGCGACCTCGGTGCGCGGCAGCTGTTGCACAACCACGTGATACCGTCACGTGACTCTTCAGTACACCGCACGATTTCAAAGAGCGCATGCATGCATCTATCTGCTTCTTGATCGAGATGTTGGATTGTTTTGATGGCGACCACATCATGCCACGACATATGCCATGCCATGCCCCTCCACTCCTTGTGATCTTTCGCGACTCGATTTCGGGAAAATTGTGGCCACAAACAGGTCACGCAAACACTTGGCGCGTGAATGAAATCGCTGGATGAGGATGAAGAAAAGCCATGTCACAGTGTTGCTCCATTTCGATCGTAGAGTTGCGCGATGAGGAGATCTCGCCTGCGCCACGAAGTTTTACGCATCGCGCCTTCATTTGTGCTCACATCACCTCAGACGTTAACGCGACGCCCAGGTCAAAAAGGGATCGGGCTTTCGAATATTCGCGTTCGATCGCTCGAACTGCAATAGAGCCGACAGCATTGTTCGAGAGAAGAACTTCGCGCGCCTCGCTTTGCCCACAATTCCCCCCCTCGCAAGTGCCGACGATGCAGACAGACCATCAATGACCGCTGCTCATTCGAGTCAGGATATTGGCAGCTCCAAGCACCTGCTCTTGCTCCAGCGCATCACCTACGCCAGCCATGGACGACTTTAGACGCGTCAGTCGTCCTTGGTAGCCTTGACTGGACGCATTCTCCAACGCAGCCGTCGTTCGCACAAGCCGCCGAGGCTGGCTGGACAGCGACGCTTCATCCGCTGAGCCAGAGGCGGTCGTGGGCGTCTGCTGCGCATCTTTTTGCAAAAAAGACAGGCGAGCAAAAGGCGCGATTCAGGATCCTAACACTAGCTCGACATTTCACGCGAATCACTCACGCTGCTTTTGCTTGATCGATTTGCTCTCAATCGGCCAACGAGACTTTTCTTTGATGCTCATCAAGGGTACGACCTGCTTGATGGGCGAGCGAGCTCGAGCAAGCCGTGTCTGGCTTCTCTTGAGTTGAGAGGAAAACGGCGTAGCGAAGATCTGAGTATCATTTTTGCCCGCGAGCGTCGATCGATGGCCCCTGATCGCCTCTGGGCTCGTACCTATGCGGCTGGATATTTGCGTCGCTCGATGCACCCCTGCTTTGTATCCAGCATATCGAGCGCTGGTACCGATGCGATTGGCAGGAAAGCTGAACTGAATCTTTGACTGATTCGGAAGAGTGGTTCAGAGTCGGCGGGTGATCAAATGAAAATGACCTCGAGACGACAGGTTCCTCACCACCTCTTTTGCAAAGCTGCTGCTCAATATACGAGCTTGAACCTGCGCACCTTCTTCGATTGGCGGTGGTTGAGCTCTCCGCAGTATTCTTGTCAGTGCTGGAGCCGAGTGCATGTACGTGCGCGACGATTCCTCTTGACCCTTCACCTCCTCTGGACACATCGACTGCTTCACTTTCTCATCCTCTCGCTTCACTTTTCGCTTGATACGAGTCAAAGTCCTTCCGAACTGCGAACCAGAATCGGATGAACTCGGGCGCGGGACATGGCAAGACTCCTTGATACCCTCGGGCGACTCCTCCACCAGCACATCTTCTATCGGAATAAAGTCTTCCTGAAGGTGCAGCGCTGAAGATAGGGGTACGATGGCTCTGCTTCCAAGACCGCGCATAGGATGCCGTTCGTGCGCCACAAGGTCTCTGCGAAGAAGCCTGCGAGTATTTCCTGAATAAAAGGCGCCGTACGCCTCCGTTCGAGGCATGCGGATCGGCTTCTTGACGACCGATGTCAAAGGCGCTGAGCTCGGCGGAACCTCGCTCAAGGCAGTGCGAGACGAAGCGTTGCGCGATCGATTGACAGCTGTGTTGGCCGAGTTTCGGGCAGACGTGCTTCCCACAGCATGGACCTTGTGTTCCCATCCTGGCTTTGGGTAGTTCGGAGGCGCTCGCTTCCCGGGCATCTTACCGCGCTCCAGTAGGCTCAAGTCGTTCTTGACGCGCGATGTCGCCTCGACGACGCTGCGTGTCTGGTGAGACAAGTGCCACTTTTGCTCTGCATACCAGCTCGGCTGCGGATCGTGGTGCCATCGTCCATTTTGACCAAAGCCGTCGATTGGAGAAGCTGCTAGCTCGGCGTTTGATGGTCTCTCGCGATGTGTGTAGGAAGGAGAGACCAGCTTCAGATCCTTGTGCATCTTCTGCTTGCCTTTTCCCGTCCCACTTTGCAAAGTCGAAGTCGCTGCTGTCTCTCGATGATGAGCAAGACTGCCAAGCTCGATCTGCGTAGCTCGAGTCGTTCGATGTGAGGACACGGGACTGTGTGGCATGCTCGTTTCCGAGATCTTGACGCCATCTTGCTTCCGGCTTGCGACAGAATGCTGCGACCGAGTTGGTGCCAATCTTCCGGGCGTATGGTTGCTTGGAGCGTACGGATTGAGATAACGAAAGTGCGAGGCAAAGGAAGACAAGACGCTTTCTTGGGACTTTTCGCGCTGCAGATTACTCGCCGTGTGGCCGTTTCGGACAGCTTGAGGGACCCGCGGACCAAGCCCATCAACTCCCGCTGGGCGAGTAGGCTTGATATGCTCTCGCATCGACGCTCGAGCTAATGACGATGGGCTTGTCGCAGCTCCGTCAGAGCTTTTCTCTCCCTTGAGCGATGCGGTGATTTTCGAGATTGCTTTGCGAAGAATCTCGTTCTTGCCGGGCCTAATATGCTCGTCGAGCGCCTTGACAGGCTCGCTTTCTCCTGGCCATCGTCGAGCTAGCTCTGGAGGAGTGACAAATTTTCGAGCGCTGGAAATGGGCAGCTTGCTCCGATGGACGGTAGCACGCCGTGCAATAGCCGTGGGAGTCATCGCGGTCGTCGTGAGCAATACAGTGCGACGCATCAATACGAAGACTCGGCTCGGGCGAAGCGCTTTCCCAGGATTTGCTGAGCGACGGTGAAGATGATGAATCGGCGCTATCTCCGACGACTCGGTGCGTGAAGGACTTGACTGAGCCGCTCCATGAAGCACGTAGCCTCTTCCAGCAGGGTCCTCACGCAAGTGGACGGGAGAGGAGAGTTGAGACGAAAAGAAAGCACGATGATTGGGCGACGCTCCTGGGCTGCTAAACAGCTCCTCTGCTGGTCTGGGGCTTCCCGCACGCAAAGGAGAGTTTGCCTTTGGACTGGACTTGCTTCCGACAGAGCGGCTACTGCGCGGGTTTCCGTGAATGTCAAAGCCTGTATCTGCTCGGAAAGGTGCACTTTCGACTGCGCGAACCGCATCTTTCACCTTGACCGGAGGCACGGCCGGGCCTTTGAGCTTGGCCTTCTTCGGATCCAGACCCGCCTGCTGACGACTTGGCGTCTTTGGCGGACCGATCTTGACGGGCTTGAGGGGAACGGGCTCGACATGAAAGTCGCCATGTGGCGCCTGGGCCAGATGGTCCGAATATGTGAGAGCCTTGGGCTTCTTGACGGTCCCGGCAAGCTTGCGCGTGCCAAAGAGGAATGAGCTGGCCAGCATGTTGCGATTGTGCCACTCCGCTGGGCGTTTGCGCTGACTCCGACCGACCGATTCGGCCGTTGACTCGAGCTCAGGATCGCTTGCTTTCGGCGACTTGTTCAGATCGAAAGAGATTCGCCGGGATGAAGATTGGGTCCGCGAAGGTGGTGGTGACGTGGCAGAGTGACCCAGTGAGTCTCTCCGAGGAGGACTCAGAAGCACATCTCCGGGCGCAGAGTCGCTTTGTGGAACGATGTGTACTGGGGATCGAACGAGCTGCTCCCCTGGATCGCTGTACATTCCCGGAGAGCCAGGCGGTGACTCAAAGGGGAGAGCGGATCTTTGAGAGCCGTGATGCGGGACATGTTCCTCGTAAGGATGAGCATGTCCACCGTGTCGCGCACCTCTGATCTGTGCGACTTGCGTCTCGAGATCCCTGAGCGTTGCGCGGTGTTCGGCTGCACTTTTTGGCGACATGGATGCAGCGTCTATGCTCTTCATCATGTGCAAGAAGTTTTCCGCCTCTGTTACTGGACTCAGTGGGCTTGGTGGTCCTCGCTTGACGAGTGTGGCTGAGATGTTGTCCCGACGCTGATGTTCGTGCTGATGATCGTGAACATTCCACGAAGTGTTGCTGCTGCCAGAGCTAGAGGCCGTGCGGTCAGGAGAAGGAGAGAAAACGTCATGCATGGTCTCGTCGGATCGTGTAGGTCCGCGGGAAGACGTTGGGGAAGGAAGAATGTGCATCGTCTGATCCGAATGAATAGGTGAATGGGCCGCCGGCTTTCTTTCAGCCGTGTCTGCAGCCTTCTGCTCGGGAGTCAATCCGCTCTGTGCATGGATAGGAGCGTCATTCAGCAAGCCTATAGGTGGCATATCATCGCGCGCACGGTCCCCTGCACTGCTCGAGGCAGCTGAACGGTCTGAAGAGCGCACAGGCCTCCACCTTATGCACCTATATAAGTCTCTTAAAATCCTTTAGGTCGAGCTCTCATTCGATGCAGCACTCAACTCTCCTCATAGCAAAACTCACCGATCCGGCGGTATTCGCAATCTCCCAGTCCGTGCGTGGCCGTTTTGCAGCAGCCTTCTTCTCAACATACAGCATCGGTGCTTTGCCCTCGGAGTCTGTTGCGATTCTGAGCGTCTTTCCCGCATGAACTGCTGCACCCGAAGCAGTAGCCTCATGTGCGCCCTCTTTGATGACGATTGCTTTCTGCCGACCTACGCTGTGCGCGCCAAACGCCCGTTCGATCGATTCTGTCGAGCGCGCTCGCTTGTGTTTGGGTGACTCGGGCTCCATGGACATCTGCAAGGCTCGCTGCAAGTCGTCCGGATCAGTGTCGGCCACGTTCATGCCTGTCTTTGCATGGATGTGGTGAGCCAAATCAGCGGTGGAAATGCCGGACGGTAAACGAGTAGGAGCAACAGGGGGACCATGTTGCCATCCCGGACCAAGAATGTCACCAGCAAGCTGGTGGAACAAAGCCTCTTGTTGCGCGTGGTTCTGCTTCAATCGTGCCAAATTTCGCCGTTCAGCACCCAAAAAGTCGAGCCTGTGACCGAGCTCATACACTTCGTGCGAGGGCACGTGCTGCATGCCATGCACGCTCAGGCGGACCTGGTTGAGCGCATCCAAGTGCTCCTTGCGAGTTCTAGGCGACATTTGGTTTGCGTCTTGCTGTTCCATCTCGTGCAACAGACTTGCCAGACCCAGATCCACAGGCGAGTCGGGAGAATGCGGAGGTGACCTCAAGGGGGAGCCTCTGCGGTAGATTGCTTGCTTGAGCTTGGGGATAAACTCTCGCTCCTCGTGAATGGTAGGCATTCGCTCGAGAGGCTTTGGGATCTTTCGGCGCAACTTGGGCTTCCTCAATATTGTCTCAGTACTCGATGGCCGCAGAGGTGTAGCAGGCACGCGAGGCTGAAAGATAGCTTTGGTCAGCCGTGGCTGAGGCAGAGCGTGCGCTCTCGACTGCGCATGCAGCCACGCCAAAGTAGCTTCTGGCGTTCGCACCTTGGAGTCAGCCGTCTGCACCTGCTTGTTGTAGTCGGCAATGCGAGGGTTTGGGCCCACATACGGCGTGCCGCGCTGAGTAGAGACCACAGTGCTCATCTCCGGCTGAGGTTTGTTCGGCGAAAACGCGTACGCGTAGCGCTGAAGCTTCTCCACCCCCTTTTGACGTTCCTTGGCCGCCATGATCTCCAACGGAGTGGCAAGGCGAAACTTGCGCGCAGCAGCTTCAGGGGCGCTTCCGAGCGTGCGGCGAGCCTTTGGCTGTGCCAGCACCTGTCCGCATTCGGCGCAGGTGAGTCTGCCGCACTTTGAACACTCGAGCACTGCATTGATCTTGGATTTGCTGCTCTCTCCTTGCTCAAACATTCTTGCTTTGCCGTCCAATGCCAGTTTCGAGAATCGTTGCAGCTCCGGTGAGCGCCGTTGAAGCTGCGGCGAGCGTGCAGCACTCGAAGTCGACTGCTTTCTTGGCCGACCGCGTCCTCTTCTGGGCTGCGGAGCGTTCGCCTCCCCGACAAGACTGGCCTCGTATTCGGACCGCAACCATTGCGGAGTCGTACGTTGTCTGAGAGAGCGTCTTGGCGCTATCGAGTCATCGATCGTTGAAGCACCAGCTCTATGCTGTTCAGAATGCTGCACAGCCGCGCCATTATCCCTTTGATCCAAAGAACGAGAAGGCCCAGCCTCTTCCCCTCCAGACTTTCGCTTACGATTGCCGGTGAGCTCCGCGTGCTGAGCGTGAGGTTGTTGCCCATGCGCAATGGCCAGATGCTCTCCAAAACGGGAGGAAGAGAGTCGGCGCTCGCTGGTAGATGGGTCAGCGCCAGACAAGGGGACGATTCGCTGTTCATCTCGGTGAGATCCTGGTTGGCCTCTGTGTGTAGAGGAAGGGGTATGAGAGCTTTCTCCGACGCTTGGTAGCGCGTGTGCTGCTGCACTATCGGGGTGCGACGCTCCCTGTGGCGTCGCGAGAGAGAGCCAATCATTCGGTGCCGCGTGGGAGGCGGTCGCTCGTGCTCCAGAGGCACTCGTGTGCGTGCGGACAGGTCCAAGGTTGAGGTCGGGAAGATCCAAGCCGGGGCCTCGCTGCCTGCCTGATCTCGACGCATGGCCCGCATGCCCACGCGGTCCTTGTCTGCCGCTTGACGGGCTGTGTGATGTGTGACTACTTGTCCCTGCACTAGTCGACGTTGTGTAAAAGTCCGAGGTGTGCAAAGACATTGATGCAGTGCGATTGCGCACAGGTCCACGCCTGCTAGAGCTGCTCGAAGAGGATGAGCTCGAAGATGGCTGCGTCGTCGTCATGAAATCCGATGTGTGCAAGGGATCAGAACTCGAGTCGCTCGTCGTATGTCTTGCGAGAGGAGGTTGGGAGACTGCTCGTTGCTGGGTCTGTATCCCGCCACCCGCAGGGACGGGAGGAGATGCGGACACCACATGTCGCACGATTTGCCTCCCGCTATTGGTAGCAAGAGCCGGGCGTGGCGCGTCATGCTCTGTGCTCGAGTGCGTTGCGGTGTTGCCAGGGGAGCTGCGGCTAGGCGCTTCCGCTTGTGGCGGTGAAGACACGAGGCGAGAGTGGTGGATTCCGACCTCTCTTATTTCTTCACGCGCGGCTGGCTGGGAAGCAGCTGCGGTTCGGTGCGGTACCGACGGTCCCGGCAAAACGAGGGGCGAAGATTGACTGCCAAGTGTGGCATGCTGTCGCGTAGCAGCAGCGTCAGCAGAGTCGACATGAGACGGAGATATTGCGCAACTCACGGGCACTCGTACAGCATCCAAACTCTCCTTTCCGCGACTCGCTACATTTTCGAAAGCTTGCACCATCTGCTTGACGCTGGGTCTGACGAAAGGTGCGGCGGGGCCAACTTCAGCGGATGTGGGTGGTGTTGGAGCGCGCAAGACGAGTTGTTCCGGTGCATATGTCTGCTCCCCTTCGCGCCGAAGCAGAGTATCCGTAAGGGCTGGAAGTGAGCGACGATACCTGTCCAAAGACTCGTTTTGTCTTCCTGACGAACTAGACTGCAAGCGCCTCATGTCTTCTTGTCTGGCAAGGGAAGTGCGTACGACTTTCTTGTCAGGAATGCTGGGAGAGATGTTCATGAGCCTAGGCTGGTCGGACAAATGCTGAGAGTGAGAAGTGCTCGACTCGCCGTCCACTGGTCTCGCGACGACCAGTTCAGAAGCGAGGATGGGCTGCTGGCGAGCAGAGGGCGACTGCACGCGAGCCAAATGGCTATCCCACGCACTTGCCATCTTCTTTACGTGACCCGAGCCCCATAATGGCGAGCCGTGTGAACGCTCCGGTCCGCTCAGATCTATGGTCGATCTGACATCTGATGCAGGGCGCGACGTATCGTCGAAGAATTCCGTCAAGGAGGGCAAGCGCGAGCGCGAAGCTCGCTTGTCGAGAAGTTGGACGCGCAGCTCGTCCATGGCTCGTTTGTCGTTGTGCTGCGCTTCGTC